TGAACCGCTTTGTGAAAGCTCCTTATAAAGAAAGACTTTATGCACTTGTTTTAAGCAGCTGAACTGTAGCTCTTAAACAGTGAAGCCCACCCACCTCCTTTTGAATAAAAAAGCTTTGGTTCTAACACCTCTTCCTTGAAACACCTCAAACAACCTTTTTTTGATTTGTTTTGGGTTCTTTTTGGGTTTTTTTTTTTTTTTTTGGCTGCACTGCCCGGCTTGTGGGATCTTAGTTCCCTGATCAGGGACTAAACCCGGACCCTCAGCAGTGAGAGCATGGAGCCCTAACCATTGGACCGCCAGGGAGTTCCCTCGAACAACCATTTAGAGAAGATGTTGAAATGAGAGAAAGAAAGCTCCTTTTCAACCTGGAGTTTTCTCAGAACTGGAACTATTCAGAACATGACTATATTTATAGCATCTGTTGAATTTGGATTCCAGAGGAGTAGAAAGATTTACAATCAAAACTGTAGAGAGTTTGCCTTTCAGAACTGTGATGGATACGTGTCCGCTAACGGTGAGGGCAAAAAAATTACTGTCTGTTAAATGTTTTTTTAAAATCTCGCAGTAACTAAGGCAAAAATAGGACCACAATTCATAGAAAGAGCAAAAGTACATGAGAATTCACAGAAAACAAGCATCAGAAAACCGTTGGCTTCACAGTCACCTGATGTGAATTAAAACAACAATATTCCACAGCATACGTGTTAATTCAGGAAACAGTTTCTTGATGTAAAGCCTTACGCTGCTAATCAGTGGGCACGGTGGTACCTTACTGTGATACCCCACTGCTGACTGTATGTCTCTTGATGACGACAAATTGGTCATACTGTCAAGAATCATAAAAGACATTCATAGCCTTTGATCCTGTAACCCTAATCCCAGAAAGTGATAATTTAAAAGGAGAAGAATATCATGAAAATGATACCATGAACATGTTCCTTGCATTTTTAATTTACAATAGAAATCCATTGATTCTGACAATAGGGGACCGTTAAGTAGCCATCAAGGCGGTAACGAGTAACAAGTGCTTGCTTAGGGTGACTGCTGACAAGGATACCAAATCCTGTCTACATTACTATTGCAGTTTAAATAACTAATAATAATAAACAGTGGGTAAGGGCACAGGAAAGTTAAAAGTCTCTAGGGGTTTATTAGGATCAGATTTTTTTTTTTTTTTTTGTGGTATGCGGACCTCTCACTGATGTGGCCTGTCCTGTTGCAGAGCACAGGCTCCAGAAGCACAGGCTAAATGGCCATGGCTCACGGGTCTAGCCACTCCGTGGCATGTGGGATCTTCCTGGACTGGGGCATGAAACCGTGTCCCCTGCATCGACAGGTGGACTCTCAACCACTGTGCCACCAGGGGAGACCTGTTGGAAGATTTTTAATCACAGTTTCAATTTCATTACTTGTGATTGGTCTGTTCATATTTTCTACTTCTTTCTGGTTCAGTCTTGGAAAGTTTTACCTTTCCAAGGATTTGTCCACTTCTTCCAGATTGTCCATTTTATCAGCATATAGTTGCTTTAAGCTGCAAAAAAAAATGCGGGAACTGAACCCAAACAGGAGAATGTGATCCCGTTTCAGAACCTGTGTCTGCAGCTCTGGCAGGTGGGCATCCCACCGCTGTTCCCTAACAGCCTGACACCCTCCTGCCCCACGGAGACACTGGCTCATCCATCCTGAAGTCGAAACCCTTTTTCTAGAGTAAGTTCTTCTCAGTGAGGTGGTTAAGGACTCACCCCGTCATCGACAGCTTGGTTGCAAACTCCAGTGACCCCTTCAAATAAGCAGAAAGGGCGGCTGCTGTGGGTGGAGCTGGCGTGACGTGGGGGCCCTAGATCCATGCCCTCTCACCGTGGTCCCCACCCTGCAGTTCCAGAGGCTGGGGGCTGCCCGTGGGTGCCGCGAGCTTAGACCAAGGGCTGCGAGGGCGAGAGGGTGAAAGCCCAGCCCCTGCCCAGGTGGGGCCGGCCCTGGGAGTGTCTCGCCCCACAGCCCCTGGGGTTGAGACTGTGCCTGCGGTGTCTCCCCGTCCCCAGCTGCCCACCTCCCCCAGCCACCCAGGAGGAGCGGTACAAATGCGTTTCTAACCGCCCTGTCTTCAGTCCTGATCCCTTTGTTGTTCTGGGGTTCTGGGGGGCCCAGTCGCCCACCCTCCTGCTGGACAGAGGCCAGGGGCTCTGACAGGTTCCACGTAAGCCGCTAATCTCCCTGCATCCCTCTCTTGTCCCAGGCCAGGTACGCAGGCCTCCTCTTCCTGCACGAACGGTGGCCGCTGTGCATCCACGAGAAGGTGGTGGTGCAGCTGGCGCCCCTGCGTGGAGTCAGGCTCAGGCCTGGGGACTTGTACCTGCAGATCACTGTGGCGGCGGGGAGGCAGCCCGCCAGACTGGTCTTGAAACGCCTCTCCCGGCCTGGACAAGGCTCGGAGGAAGTCACTGTCCCTGAGACCATGTACGGCTGTGTCTTCACGGGAGAGTTCCTGGAACTGGTGAACAGGGAGCAGAGCAGTGTCCCCTTGCAAAACTGCTTGCTGACCTCGGGCTCGGCGGTCTACCGCAGCCCCTGGAACAACGTCACAGACCCTGTCTTTGTCCCCACCACCGGAACCAACCTGCCCAGCTGCCCCAGCGGTCCTGGGCCTCAGCAGCCCCCACCCAACAGCGCCTCGGAGGCTCCAGCCCCGGCACCAACCTTGGCCAGCCCCGCTCCCCAGGGCGGCACACCTTCCAAGCACACCCCGACCCTGCCCGACTGCAGTGGGCATCCCAGCAGTGACCAGCCCCGCCGTCTTCCTTCCCCAAGAAGGGCTGAGTGCAAAAGCCCCGGGACCCTGTCCGGGAGTCCCAGTGGAGGCTTCACGGGGGTTGGCCTCTCAGAGCAGGACCCCTGGGAGTGTCCTGAGAGCCCTGAAGGACCAGGAGGGAGGCTGGACCCCATGGACAAGAAGGACGGCTCAAAGTCCCTCGCCTTCCACACAGAGGGGGGCAGCCCGAGCTCCAGGAAGCGGCCGCCCAGGGACCCAGCCAGACACTGGTTCAGGAAGTCCTACATGGAGGCCCTGCAGAACCCTATGCCCCTGGGCTCCAGCTCTGAGGAATCCATCGGGGACGAGGCCTGTGGCTCCCAGACCCACGGCCGCAGGGCCAGGGGGGCCAGGGCAGCGGCCAGTCTTACCCAGAAAGAGATCCCTGGCCCTGCGGGAGACCCCCAGGAGATCCCGAGACAAGAGAGTGGTCCAGGAGCTGCAGGGAGGACCCTTCCCAGGAGCTCTCGATCCTGGGATAGGTCCCTCAGAAGCTCCCGAGGTGACACCTGGCAGGCCTCCCAGCACTTAGCCAGCACCAGGCCTGGGGGTCTCCTGGGAGGACCAGCTGTGGGGACCAGAACCACAGGCTCCAGCTGTCCAGGCACAGTGGAGAGTCCCAGCTGCACAGGAGAGGAAGGTAAATGCCCCCTCCCCCACCCTCCCCCACCCTCCCCTC